TGTCCCGGGAGTCTGCTGGAGGAGGTACCACTCTGAGTCCGGCTGTTTGTTTAGTCAAATCACAGCACCACGGGGGTCTCCTCTCCTCTCTCACACTCTGAAAAAGCCTGCCCACCGCTCCCAAAGAGTGCTGTAAGTTTAAAAAGAACCACACATACATACACTGCTTCCCTGACAGATTCACACAGAGGAGAGAGTCAGTGGTCCGGCCCGGCTAAAGCTAGAGTAAGAGTGAGCTGGAGAGGGAGAGGAGGGAGGGAATTGTGAGGGGGAGTTGAGCAAAAAGCAATAGAGGGACGGGAACAGAGAAAGAGAAAAGATAAAGGGGGAAAACTTCAAAATACAGACTGAGCTCTGCTTGTTGTTGTTCAGTAGCAGCTGAGAGGTCCTGAGCTGGAGTGATTTGTTTATGAATGGAGTGGCGAGCAACTGGAGGTGAACTGAGACAGTCTCCATTGGCAACAGCAATCTGGACCGCATCTAACCCCTCCATAAAACAACAAACACAATAAAAAGGAAGAGAAAGAGTGAGAGAGAGTGAGTGAGAGGTCCAGGCAGGAAAAAAAAAAGGTTTGGCAAAGCTCATGGTGTCCTGCTTTGGAAACAAACATGGAAGTCTCAGTTTCTCAGGAAAATAACTTCACTTACATAATCACACTGTCAGAATCAGGTGTAAAAGAGGTTAAACACATACTTTTAGCTGGAGTGAACCCATTTTACATCTCCTTTTGTGTATTTCCTTTCTTTTTCCATTCATCCCACATAAAATAACTCAACACCTCCCTCTATCATCACCCCCTTCTGTCTCTTTTCTCTGCTCTTTCAGCCCTCTCTCTTTCAAACACATGCATACACACACCATGCAAATACGTCTGTTTTCTATATTGGCTCTCTCCCTAATTTCCTCCTTTCCCAGGATATGTGAGGATGGCTTGAAATTCATAACGCAACCCTGCAGCTGACGAGGGCCTTTTCTCTCTAACAAGGGGTCGGGGCAGGCTGAGGGGAGGAGGGAACAGGGGCTAAATTGGACAGTAACCATGTTCTCCTCTAATTGTGAGGGTAAATCTAAAAGCCCTGCTAGCAGTAATTAGAGAGCCTGTGAAGCCCCAGTTATTAGATAGGAGGGGAGCAACACCACACAGGACTGTCCCACCTTAACATCTATTTATTTCTATCTATATAATCAACACCTGTGTTACAAGACATATATATTTCTAATTTTGAAATGATTTTAGCATTTTGTTGTTACAATGGCAATGACATGTCTATTCATGCAGCTTAACAGAGTGGCAAACCACTTAATAAACTGGACTCCAAATCATTCTGCTACAACAATGCGCAGCCTATTCGGCCTATCAGAGCAGCTTAAGAGTGGTTTCTCTCACCGCTGATCTGGATTGTTGCCATAGCTGGACAGCAACTAGTGCAACCACCTTCTATGCTGGTCCTGTGTTTGCTGGATTTCAGCAAAGTTATCTCTCTGTGACTGATAGGCAGGGGCCCCCGGAGGCCCTTGGGAGCAAGAAGCAGGAAACACTGGGGGCTGAGACCTGAACCTAGAGCTGAACTCAACATACTTCTGATAAATGAAGATGGATGAAACCATAAGACGATTGATCTGGAGTCAGATCCATAATACATTGTACCAATGAAAGATGGAATAGTCAGATATTCCTCAGAACTGGATTCAGATATTGTTGACCTGAGACACTGCAACATTTCGAAAATACAACAACAATCAAAATCATCATCATCATACTTTAAAATATACTCCTCACATCAAATCAAAGAACACAATACAAGCAGGGACACAGGCAAGGAGGAACTCAAGTTAGAGTTGGAACGATTAACTCATTAAACAACTAGCCAATAACAGTAAGCCCTTAATCTGCAAGTATTTTGATAATTAATTAATTGTAATTTTACAAACAAAAATACCAAATGTAAACACTGTAGACAGTAAACTGACTAGCCTGTTTAGACACAGCAATAAGACTTTTTCACTATCAGTCATCCATAGAAAATAATTGGCAGATTAAACAGCAATGACAATAATCGTAAATTACAGTCATAATTCATAACGTACAGAATATCATAAATGAAACAGTAAGCCCAGCAGGAAAAAACCAAAGGCATCCTGGTGATGACACTGACCATAATAACAACGTTCCCCAGTTCGACTCTGGCCGGGGACCTTTGTTGCATGTCATCTCATTCCTCTGGCTGCTCTCATTTCCTGTCAGCTCTCTGCTGCATACAGTCTCATAAAGGCATTCAAAAAAGAGAAAAGTGTGGTACAGTCAACAGAAGGATGAAGAATAAGTTAAATCTACTTTAATTACTTTTTTGATTTAAAAGTAATTTTTAAGAATCAACAAAAATGTACAAAATGTAATTTATACATTTTATCCACGAAGAACATTAACTTGATGCAGTCCTGCATAATGAGATATTGCAAAGTTGCCATAGTCATTACTTAAACCAAATTTTGAATGCTGCCTTCCCATTAATTAGGTCATTCTGAACACAGACGTAGTGGGTGAGTGTACACACCGCCTGACACTCTGTGATCAAACAAAACAACTGAATCTGGGGTGGTGAGTTGTCTCAACTTGTAATGTTTAGTCGCTTTATTCAGTTTTTTAATCACGGTGCAAAATGATGCTGATGCTTGTTGTACAGCATTTAAAATAAAATAAACCCTTCTCCACTTTTCAGTGTTTAAATGTCATTGTGAATCACACAGACGTGCTGTAGGGGTTTAGCACTTGATAAATACTGTTAACGGCCTTTTCGTGGACAGTAATAGTGTCTTAGAGGGAACTTATGTGGAAGATGAAAGCTCTGGGTGTGTCTGGGCACCTACAGCAGCTCTCTCTCTAACACATGTGAGCTTTTAGAATCGGTGAAAAGAGGCTACAGGTCTCTTATTAGTTCCCCCTCGATGAACTTGAAGGTCGGAGCATCTACGAGGAGAACAGTGGGAACACTGTTTATGCTGCACTGTTTAAACTAAATCTCCATACATGTATTATTATTTACAGTAACCCCTCATTTAGATAAATATTAGTAATGTACAGCACAGCCCGAGGTTTTTTTGTTTTTTAGCATACAGCTGCAGAAAAGTGCTTTAAATTTAAACTTTTCCGAGGTCTGAATGTTTGAGTCCAGTGTGTACATTAACTCATGATCTCATGTATACTGTGTGCTAAGTGCTAAAACCATTTCTTTATTTTTAGCCATGTTGTTTTTACTTGGTGGCTATGATGTATTGTATTTCAAGCTTTTTGCGATATGACTTTGATGTTTATGTTGCACTTCCCTTAATGTTCAGTCCTGTAGCACTTTTCTCTCCATTACCATGAGCCTGCTTCATGCTAACAGCTTATAGCTGTTATAGCCGATAATAAGTGTTCTGACCAAGATACTACCATGAATCTTTTATGAATGCTTGCTGGACAAGGACCCACAGAGAAGCTTAACAAGTGGAATATACATTATACTTTACAGCATGATATTCTGAGTACATGAAGTCAGTGAAAGTATAAAGCCAACAACATGTGGGATGAGGAATAAACTTTGTGCGTACTCATCTTATGTTTGGAAACAGCAAGTTTGTATCTGTAGGTCTCAGTATCTTGTAAATAACATGCCAGTATTCAGTTTGTTGCTGCCCTCGTGTGGTTATTTTAGGGATAGTTGCCATACATTTGTAGCAGACTATCACTAATACTACATGAAGTATTGAGGTTTGAGTAAATAACACAACTGTAAAGTCACTGGTGTGATGTCTGCTTTTGACCCTTGGGGTTTCCGCAACTTTCTTTACCTCACTGTCACACCTTAAGAAACAGGATATGTTATTGGAAGTAAGCCGTTTGTTTAGAGAATGAAATGAGGAAGTTGGCTTTTTGTTCTTTAACATTAACAGTCAGTGGGAAACATGTTTAAGGGGATATACATTCATACACAACACCTATTCTTGATGAACACTGTATTAGGTCAACTCACTGTTGAAATGTAACTGATGTAACTGATTACTTTTACTGTACCAGTACTGTAACTAAGTACAGTTAAAAGGCACTTGTTGAGTATTTCCATAACATGTCTCTTCTCTTCTATTTCACCATATCTCACAGGCAAATATTGTGCTTTTTAAACCACACGCCCTATTTATCTGTCATGCTTTTGTCAGTCTGTTACTTTACAGACTGACAATAGCAGCAACAATTAATATATATATATATATATATATTATATAATTAGCATATAAAATATAGCTCAACCTCATAACTACACCATTAAATGTGTAAGTACCAATAATACATAAAACACTTCATACACTATATGAGTGACACACAGAGTTATATATAGCTACCACTGATGGCACCTGTAATATTTCTGGGAATTTGGGGGGTGTCATTCGAGATAAAAATAAATGTATATTCTACTTTTACACAAGTACTTCACATGTCAGGGTTTCTTGAAATGGTTTTGATATTTCTTTAGTGTAAATACTTTAAATATTGACTGTTTTTAATTTGAAAAAAAATTAGAATTAAAATGAAATAGTTACCTACCAATGAAAAGACAGCATTTAAATGTGAGGTGATAACATTTACAGAAAATACATAAATTAAATACTGAAGTTTTTTTTTACATGGCTGTTGATTCATGACCTGCTTTAATACTTTCACTTTTCACTGTGCTCATAATACTGATATACTTTCACTTTTTCTTTTGGATTTTGAATATGTTTTACATTGTGGTATAACTTCTACCGCCACTGGCCTCCACTCAAATTTAGATTTCCAATCTCTCTGCTGCGTGTCACATGAGCCCTACACACGCGTGCACAGGTGCGTGCATATGCGCGCGCACAGCCTATACAGTTCACGCACACCTTACATGATGGGCCTTATCAAAATGATCCACGGGGGGTAGACTGGGTAAACCAGGGTTAATGCCCTCACGTCGCCAAGACGAGCAGGCAGGTGGGTCTCAGGTAGATACCGTGACGTCACGATGATACTTTTGAACTCCTTGGCAGTAAATCTATAAAGGTGTGTAGTCTTACTGCACAGGTAGCCAGCCAGTAATAAGCTTGAACCTTAGACTGAAGGGGAAACTGAGCGCCAGAGCCTGCTGGGAATAAACAGGGAGAACTAACATGCGCCAGGCAGTTTGACTCATCGAGGTCAACCTGAGAGTCAACCCTACCTGTCGGACGAGGATACCGGTATGTACCCCAACTCACAGACCGCCAGGCACCCGGCTCAGGCTCTGTCACTGAACAGTCAGTACATTCCGCCTCCGTATGACTTCACCGGTTATCATCACGTCCCGGGACTCGGTGACCCGTCGACAAGTGCCTGGAACCCGGTCTACGCTCCTCGGGAGGAGTATCCGTACAGCTTCCCGGGGTCAAGCCCCAGCGCCGGGCAGGTCAGCTTCTCCTCTCCGGAGCTGAGCGGCAGTGGCACGCCCACCGCCGCTGGAGGGGGGTCGTTCACGCCGTACAACTTTATCTCCGGTCAGGACCCCCTCAGCTCCAGGAGGAGGCCTCATGAATCCATCAAACCGTCCATTTCAGGTGGGACATACTGATACACCATAGAGGTCTCCGTGTAGGCTGTTACAGTCTGTATGATGTACTTAAAAACTCTATTGGCCTATGATAAATAATACATGTTATAATTAGGATGAGAAACACTTACTGCTTCTTTAATGTACATAAAACTCTTACTAGAAGGAGGTCGAGTCTATCTTTGGGCTGATCGCAAGTCAGATATCTTAAATGCCAATAAATGAACAGGAACTGTCATTGAGATAACACTTGATTAAGGATGCTTAAACTAACACTATTTTTTGTGCTTGGTGCAGTCACATTGCAAACTAAACCCCAGCAGTTGAGTTGGGCGTACGGATGACAGACATGGTAGAACGGATTTTCATAGACAGGACCAATTTCACCATGCACACAGAGTAGAGTCAGGCTGACTGCACACACACACACACATTCATCAATCTTTTTGCCTCTCCCTTCCGACAGAATGTTGTGAGATGTCAATGCAAAGCTAACAGTGGAGGCCATGAAGTCTGCAGAAGTGTGGCTCCCCGCCCTCTCTGTCCACTGGGTTGGTGCAAACTGCCTAGATAACGCAGACAGTACAGGAAGTCAGCAGAAGTCAAACCGAAAATCCTCTAAAGACGAACCCTTAAGGCCTTGCTTGTGTCTGCGTGTGTTGGTCTGCCTCGATCGATAGTTGTCACATGGTCAAGATTTCGATCAATATCTCTGAGTCACCCTCTTTCCCTAGTGTGTGTGAACATTTGTGTCAATGAATAGCTGACTGTGTAAACACCTATGTAAACACCACTCATAGTGATAAGGAGAAGCACTGATGCAATGCAGTGGGGAGTCTTTACATTAGTTATAGTTAGTGTGATTAATAGAGTTGATGAGGCTTTAAGTGGCGCCTGAACTTGAACGTGGCACCAGACTTCTTCAAATTAGTCGTGTTTAGACGGCTCACAGTACCAGTGACTCACTGACATTATATTCACTCTTGTTTGTACTACTGGCAGGTTAACACACCTGTTCAATACATTTGCTAAGCTAGTCAATCATCCAAACTATCGTCTTACTAAATCAGGTTTGTTTTGTGTGCTTCAGGGAAGACTCGCACTAAAGACAAGTACAGGGTGGTGTACACTGACCAACAACGCCTGGAGCTGGAGAAGGAGTTCCAGTACAACCGCTACATCACCATGAGGAGGAAGACCGAGCTGTCAGTGGCGCTGGGCCTCTCAGAGAGACAGGTGAGAGGACTGGAGCAAATTACAGTTAGAGGTAGAGAGGTGAGGGGTAGATAGATAGTCATAGCAGCCAGGTACATTTAAATACAATAAAATACAACAATAGAATAAAATACTTGAGGTAGAAAAGATAAAAAAAAAAGATAAATAGGTAGATAAGGTGCAAAGAAGTTTTAGTTGGGTAGAAAATGTGAGGAAGTACAGTTACAATCCAGGAGAACAGGTGGGAATCATATGAACATGACTGAAAAAGCAGGCGTGAATATAAAAGAAAGGTCAGCCCCAAACTCTGCATCTACACAGGGTGCGTTCAGGCACAGTATTAAATGTAGGCCTATACATGATCACTGTATTTACGCTATAAAAAAGTAGAAAATAGCCTTAAAGCATGAAAAAATATGCTATGTCACACGGCCTGTGTAGATAGCTGGACTAAAAGCGTGTATGTTTATGCCTTGTCTTTTACTGCAGACCAAGTCTACCTACGGGTACAAGTAGGTACAATTAACCTAACCTAACCTAGTTCTGTCAAACATGAGACAGACACAGTGGTGAAGAGTGACAGATAGAAAAGCACTTGTGTCCATACATGCTATATTATTTCTCACATGCATTTAAAAATTAGATATTGCTATTGGTTCATGTAGTTGCTTGGTGCTGTACGTTTTCTTATTGTTAAATGGACAAATTCAGTTACCTCATGTAGAGTTAATTCTGAAACAGCACAGGAAGTTTTTACACAATCCCATTTAGAGAAACCATCTTTAGAAGAAACAGCAGAAACCTCTATAAACCATAATGTTATGTGGCCAAACAAAACATCTCACTTACATATTAATGGTTAAACTCTCCCTCACTCATGATGGTATTATTGTTTTTCTGCCTGCTCATTCTGCTTGATGAGTGCGGTTAAGTGCAACAAAGTAATGCTGGGAAAGAAGGAAATTACTAAACTAAAGCAGAAGTAGGTGAGGCAGGGCAAGACAAAGGGAACATAAAAAAGCAAAATAGCTGCATACATGTGTTTTTGATATTGGTATCTCATGTCTGTGTGTATCTTTGTTTTAGGTGAAGATCTGGTTTCAGAACAGACGTGCCAAAGAGAGGAAGATAACCCGGAAGAAGCTGCAGCATTCCCAGCAGGCCTCCACAACTACACCCACCCCACCTGTGCTGGGCGTACCCGCTGACACCCACCTCACCACCAGCCCCAGCAGCAACATTTTGTCTGACACAATATCAGAGGAATACTAAGTGCATCTCATATGGAAGACTGATACAGCGTGAAATATGTACATAGCCTGTTTTGTTCACAGAATGAATGAAGATGATTCACATTAACATAATGTTATAATGCTGCACTTCCTGCCTTCCACAATGACAAGCACTTCACAGCTGATGCACTGATCATCTCTAGTGGGCATTTGCCGATCTCAGGACTTTTATGTGTAAATACAGATCATAAACAGCACCAAGATAGTGATTTTAACGATTTACTGGATCACATGACTTCTTCAGTAAATGTTGGTTAAAGCCACAATGAAAAAGAGCTTTCTTTGACACGTAGGTGTGTTGATATTTCTGAATTTTGGTTAACAGAGTGAGAATGCAGATGTCCATGTATAGTCAAGTGTCTGCAACATGAATTACAAAATAGTTATAGCTGTTTTTTAATGTCTTCCTATTTGTTATAACTACGTGTGTAAATGCACACTCAAGTAAACTCAATCACACTGACTATTCAAGTGAAAATTTATGTCTGTCTATACGACCAAAAACAGCCCTGCTATTTAATTTTGGGGAAGTAAAATTGTGTTAATTCATCTCTATTACCAGTTGAATTTATAGGAAATAGAGAGAGAACAGAGAGTTATATTTGTTACTAATATTTCTGTTGAAATATTGCAGAAGAAAAAACAATGAAAATACAATTCAAACGTATAAACAAATGGGCACACACACATTCTTTACTCAAGTAGAAGCAGAGATACTAGACTAGATTTATCTTCTCTACTCAAGTAAAAGTGAAAAAGTTCAGGCTCTGAAATGTACTCAAAGTAAGAAAGTAAAAAGTACTCTCTTGGTTTCTCTGATGGACATAATGGGCAAAAGAAAGCATCTGCATCTTATCCACAGAAATGCTTCCCCATGACAATGATCACTCATAATGGCTTTAGATGCAATGCCCTCATGCCCTAAAAATACATACTAAGACCTTTACACTTCTTCACCATTAACAGTTAGCTACCAGCTGTTTCTGTGCAGAGCTCACTGAAACTTCAAATAGGATTGAGTCTCCCTGTTTTGTCTGTTTTGTCTTGTTACTTGGTATTTTTAATGCGTCATGTGCTTGTGTCTTCATGTTGGGAAGGTGTGCAATGATGCAAAAATGCATTAAAACTAAAGTAACAAGAATGTTTGGAAAATTTAAGGAGTAGAAAGTACAGATATTTGTGTACCAATGTGGAGGGTAAAAGTAAAACATAAAAAAAATGTAATACTCAAGTAGTTGTACTGCGTTACTTCTCACCTATGCAAATGGTTTTCAGTTAGGGAGAGGAAGGAAGCTGTATATACCGTTATAAAAGGGGCAAATGCACACAAGTGTTAGAAAAAAAACAGGAAGTAAATGCAATGGGATTTTGATATGAAAACACTCATAAAAACACATTTATTGTTAAAAAAAAGCATATGGCACGAGAAAAACATTTGGTGACGGTTGTTTCCATTTTGACTTAAAATGTGTTTTTATTTTATTTTTTTTCGCCACAACATTGTGAAAACAAAAAGGAACTTAAAGCAAACGTGTTTAAAAATGACCGTGGAATAACAAGCTCAGACAGCAGTGTTTAGCCACATCCTGAAAAACAGCTGACACATGACTCATAATCTACAATTATGCCACAAAACCCACGTTCAAAGTGAAAAAAGCCCCTGCTTCTCTAGTCTGTTGGGAGTTATGTACTGTATGTGTGTAATGTTAAATCATGTACACTACTGTACATGTAAGAAATGGTAAACTTTCAGGTTGTCCCTGTTTAAGTCACTGAAGAGGAAGGAAAAGTGGCCCATGTAGCATTGTATCATTGACAGTATGGGTAGCAGTGTAAATTTAGTACCAGTCAGTCAATGATTTCAAAATAAACCACTGAATCACCTACTTTGTGCAACGCACGTATTTATCAATTAATGCGTGCAGTGAAAAAAATTCTGTTTTCTCTTTCGGCAGTGTGTCTGTATTTTCATATGTTAATAAGCAGACATTTGTGTTGGTTTTGCTGCTTGTAAAACTTGTGCACATTATATAAAAAGCATGCTCAGAACAGAGGTTTATTGCATTTTCTTTTCAGTAGCTCTTACCACAGTCACCAATTGTCTGTCTATTTGCTTTCACTGCGCCACAATCTTATGAAACATTTCGACAGAGAAAAGCTATTTGATAAGTTCATGCCGCCAAAGAAGGAATGTACCAATTTCACAAATCTTCACCTGCCCACAAAATCACTTAATATATTAATTTAATGGAATTACGACCTGAGATGATTTCAGTTTTGCACCGTAACTTACCATAATTAAATAAAAAAAGAATATAGACCATGCACACACACACAGGAGTTTAATGTTATTCATGCCCAGACCTTTGACAAGTGCTTTCACAGAAACATTCATATCTTCCAACATTGCATTTCTTTACATTCACAAAAGCCCAACAGTAAGCAGCTATACTGTACAAATACTGATTAAACAGTTTCCTCTACTCTGCCAAACTGTTAAATGATTTAAATACTAACATCATAAGTCAACTGAAGAATATCTGCACATCTGCATTAAAAGCATGCCCAGCGTTGAAGAAATGGCACCAAATACCAGTCTTGGTTTTATAGTTAAATATTTTTTTGGCATGGCAAGGTAACATCACATGAACATGTCATGACGATGACAAAATCACCTGATTTTTATGAAGGAAAAAAAAGATGTTTTATTGTGGGTCAACCAAACCTATAAAGAGCTAAGATGCAACAGTCTAATCCATTTGTATTTCCTATGTTATGCACACAAAAACAGTTGCAACAATAATGAACAATTTGGATACAATTATTACATTGAACAAAGAAATACTGGCTGACTAATCAGATGGCAAAAGGATACAGGATTGTTGGAGCGACTTTATTACACTTCTCCTGTGTTGTCAATTATTTGCTCGGTAGATTATGTCAGTCAGAAGTTCAACTAAGGGTTCAACTAAGGCATCAGGTAGTTGTTTAAAACTGAGGACACTACAACTATCATGAACCATAAACACCAATTTTATGGCTCTGGAATCAGCTGAATGGTTGTCCATGGTTGTCAACCTTTAACCTCAAGCTATCAAACCAAACCAATCATGTAGCCTCCGTGTCTGATTGAACCAACAGCAAGTATGCAACTAAAAGCACATGTTTTCACCTCCATAAAAACTTTCACAAAAAAATAAATATATTTTACTTAAATGAAAAGTTACAAACCATTTAAAAGAAATAATAAATTGCACCACACAAATTTAGCATAAATTAGAAAAATCACATTATTTTATACAAACAGGTGTTTCAGAGGGTGGTATGGCATAGGCAGAGAAAAGAAGGGTACCTGAGGATCAAAGGTTTAAACTAACCCACTCCACATACCAAAAGGTTGTTGACAGACGTGCATCTGATTACAGGTTGGACTAAATGAACATATATTTTTACAAAATGTTCACTATGAGTGGCTTTGTACATTCCTCTGTGTAAGAGCTGAAATAAGTAACGCAAGAGACTTCATTCCACTAGTTCATGCCTTCCGGTATTTGTTTCTGTGCTCGTTGTTTATCGCTGTTGCCTGTGCTGTCGAGCACACCCTCTTTTGGGTTGGAGCATGTAAGCTGCACAAAGGTTAACTTAAAAAAAAGATTATGTCTTTTAGAAGAGGCAGGAACAAAGAATGAGTGATATTTAGATAAGTCAGAGCAATTTATATGAATCTGATCTGTGGTGCTCCCACTTTCTTATTAGTTTGACTGACTAATTTAAGTCAGTTAAAATGTAACACTGTGCTGGGCTGCTGTTTTATGTGATTGGAGAAGAGAATTATGCTAAGAAGAATGTTCTCTCTTATGTTCTTATGATAATTGATTGAATTTTGGATGTGCAAATTATCCTGAACACGCTTCCATCCTGTCATTGAATGTGCGCTGTGTTTGACCATTTAGCCCTTGTTCACCTGCTAATGGCAGAACAGTGGATATAAATTACAGTATTGATCTACTTGATCTAGTCCTCAGTTGCATATAGTACTATTTCATAGTTAAAAACAGAATTTCTAATAATGAACCTAGCTGGTTAATATTAGATCACAAATCAGTAGCATGTGTTCAACTGACTTTCCATTTTGCCAAAATAATTTGCATAAATATCCACAATATAGACATGTTTCTCCTTCAGGCTTGGAAGTTTTAAGTTTTTAAGTTTTTTAAATTATTAAAACATCACAAGTGTCAGATGTACAGCTGAGTAGCAATGATATATGCTTCTTTTGTGGCAGGAACATTCTGAACTAGAAGCCACAATGTCATAGGAAACGCATCAGACTAAATATAGCGAAGTTGATGGTGTTAAAAGATAAACACATCTCTTGCTCACAATCTGAAATACTGCTAAATCCCTTTCCTCTTGAACCCCACAAGTTTACTTAAATCGACAAGAACTCTACATTTGTCCCTCTCAGTTCCTCCGCTTGTTTCAGTTAAGGAGAAAAAGGAAGAGAACAACACACAAATGTGTTCCTCCTGCGCCGCTACCTCGCTTAAGAAACAGTGGAAGTGTAGGTTATGTCTGGATATACTGAAATAGACTAATTCCCCAACTAACTTTTATATTAGAGTATGCAGCACAATTAAAACAGTCATTTTTATCATTGCAGAGCTTTAGACCTTTTAGAATTTTAGCATTTTAACACCCTGGGATAAGTTATCTTTAAAAATCACACCGTTTTGTAACACTGAAAGCCTGTGCCTGAGAAAAAGCAGAAGTGTTTACATCATGGAAACAAATTTGTGCTCAGTGTTAACTTCCTGCAAGAAATTTGTCTACCAACGTATCTTTGGGTTAGAGAACCAAAGACGGGCAGCCTGGCTGAATATGAGATTAACTCCCACTCATTGCATCTAACCTTTAATAAATCTACCAGAGCAAGAGCAGACTAGTTTATTTTCTGATATACTCTGACCCTCAACTCATTCATCCACATCTGTTTAATAAATAATAATCTGGATTTAGTTATGCAAACTTTATTACTTAAATAGCCATTTTAGATGACGTGCGAAGACAGATGATGAACCAAAATAAATGTACTGATGCCACTTTTTCAGAACACTGAACTGTTCATGTCTGCCAGTCAACGTAGAGGAATAAAACAAAATATACTGTAAAGATATATTGTAAAGTTATTCTTAAAATCATGTTATCATTATTGCAAGTTTGCAGAGTTTAAACAATGAAATAAAAGTAAATAGGCTCATAAATCAGAAACAAGTTAAACAAGGAAGTACAACATAAAGATAACAAGAGAAAGACAAAATTGTAGTATAATTTTTTTTTATAGACAGATGAAATGGATGCTTTGATGTCCAGTCATCATTAGTATAGTAAAAGTGATGACAAATAATATCTATGAGCTCTGAGGCCTCATTATTTTTTCCTATTGGAAATCAATGCCTTGGAATCCACCGCCTTTACGCCTGGGAGTACACGACAATCATCCTGCTGTTGGTTCGACAGCCGGCCGAGGTCGCTCTGAAAACTTGACTTGGCCGTACTCCACCTCAACCTCTGCCCTCTGCTGCGTCTGCCTCCCCTGCCGCTGCATGATCCTGACATCAGCATACGTTAGCTCCTGATCATCCTCTTGTTCTGAGGAGTAAAAGGAAGGATTGCAACAAATATATCATACCTACAACTAGAAACACTCAGTGATTATACAGTGGATTGTTGAAAAGAACAATTTGACATTTTGACATGTATTTGCTTTCTTGCCGAGGATGAGTAGACAATCTTCTCATCTAACTCCCGGCAAGAAAGCGAGTAAGCGTGCTGCACAAAATGTCATATTATTCTTTTAATCTATAAATAGAGCAAACCAACTCTGAAAGGAGTGATGGTTCAGAAAAAGGAAGTTTTGTTTACTACCTTTAGGTTTGTTGTTTTGCTTTTTCATATGAACAGAGACGACTGCCACCCCGACCACAAGCAGAATTACCAGTGCAGAGAGTACGCCGGCCAGAATTGGCCAGTATGCTGTTTGAATAATAAAAGACAAAAGAGACACACAGATCTTTAAGTTTTCCAACATTAAAGGTGTTTTTACGGAGACTGACAAAGAATGGAAAATGACTAATGAATCCATTGCAGTTGGTTTGTTTTCACTTACTAATGTACCATTGGTCATCTGTGCAGGAAGAAGTCACAGTTTGATTGGAGGATGAGATATTAGTGGGGGGTTTAATTGACACCGTGATGCCAGTCTCCTTACCCACAGTAG